CCAGTGATTCACACCTGTAATCCTAGCTACTTGGGACACTGAGATTGGGAGGATAAGAGTTTGAGGCCAGCCCCAGTAAATAGTTCGACAGACTCCATCTCCAAAATAACCAGAGCAAAATGGTGTGGCTCAAGTGGCAGAATGCCTGCTTTGCAAGCTCAAAGCCCTGAGTCAAACCCCTGTCCCACAAGAAAAAAAAAAAATTTTTACCTAACTGATTAATGAGGGAACCAATGGGGGAAGACATAAGAACAGTTTCCTTAAGCTCTTTCAGGGTCTGTGTGTGTGTGTGTGTGTGTGTGTGTGTGTTTAGCAGAAGAAAAGTCACTAGGTTAAATAGAAACTTGGTTAACATTATGCAAGGCAACAAAACAGGAGACTCTATAATGTCTGTAATTTATCCACCAGGCTACAAAACTTAATACAAATCATAAAACCCTAGTAATGTCTGCGAATTAACCCTGATTTTACAGGACTGCAAATCATTATACTTTCTCAGTATAGATTGTTGGTTGAACATCCTATGATAAAAATGTCCCATTCCCCCAAGAATGTCAGGTGAGAAAGTATTGGTGTCACTTTGGAGCGTGAAAGAATGCAGAGCCTCAGGCCCCATCCTGACCTTCAGAATCAGACCTGCATTGTACTAATAAGCCTGTGAGATTTGTGCAAACATTAAAGTTTAAGAAAAACTGCTCAAGAATGGTATTTTTAAAAATGAGGCAGTTGCAATTTTTAATCTTCCTAGGTTTGAGATACATTTTTTTTTCCCATTCTCTTGTCACACAATCATCAGAGGTAAGCACAGATCTCTGCTCACAGGGTGGTCCACCAGTTCTAATCACTGGGCCCTGGAATTAGTCAATAATTTCAGTCAATTCCAGGCAGGTTGTCTCCAGCTAGTTCAGTGCATCAGTTGTCTTCCTCTGTTTCTGAGGGGCTCATCAGAATTAGTGTTCCTGTAGGAAAGAAGTAGGTGCTCAGTTTAGGCCCGGATTTTCCCACTCTATGTGCTAGTGCTTTGGTTAAGATATGGTGTGTTCCTCAAAGGTTCATGTACTAGAACTTGATCCCCTGTGTGGCAGTACCGGTGTGGAACCTTTAAGAGGTAGGATCTAGTGAAAGGTGGTTATATCATGGGCACTTCACCTTCATGAATGGATTGATGGTATTTTGCAGGAATGAGTCAGGTCTCCCGTGACTGGATTAGTTCTCAAGAGAGTGGGTTGTTATACACCAAGCTCACTCCACAGGCTTTGCCCCTTCTGCATGCAGCTGTTTCACTTCCTGCTTCTCTGCTATGTTGTAATACAGCCAGGGGCCTCTTGCATTTGGACTTTTCAGTCACCAGAATAAGCCAAGTAAACATATTTTAGGTACCCAGTCTCAGATATTTTGCTGTAGCAACCCAGAACAGATTAAGACAATAGCTACTCCTAGTACTCAGAGGATAGGAGCCCAGTATCTTATGAATTGGAAGCCCCAAACTAGAATTTGAAATTGGATAATCCACGTTCCCTATTCTTTCCATGATGTCTTCCATCACTGAACCACTGCTACTTATGCAGCTTCTTACCTAATTCTTCAAATACCCTTCTCCCTCTGAAACTTTCAGATATCTTTCACTCTATGACCTTCATTGTCAGTAAAGAGGAACTCTGCAATAATTATTAATAATCAAAATTATCTTGATTCCATTAACTAAGTACTCTTTGGAACTCCTCTTTATTCTTTGAGTATCCAACCCTCAGTGGCAGCTTAGTGTTTATTATAGATTATTGAAAATAGCTATTTACTTACCACTTTACACCTCCTTTTGGGGAAGGCATGGGATACTGTGTGTTATTTAAGCTCATATCCTCCAAAGCTTGTAAGTCCATTACCTCTATTGAATGCTCAATAAATATTCACTGACCATACAACTGGACTAGGAAACTCTTCTATTATAGGACTCAGCTGTTCAAATCAACATCTAATATAAATCCATCCTCATATTTATATTCATAAAATAAGACTACCATTCTATTGCACAATAGAGGACTTATTTCACATATCAGTTCTTTAAAATGGTCAGGGGTTCATTGACTTATGTCAAGTCTCAGGTAGGGACCATTTTACAATCCTCCTCAGGGATATTTGGCCACATCTGGACACATATTTGGAGGGGAAGAAGAGCATTTAATACATTCTTACTGGTTGATTATGTGACTTGACACATACCTTCTGATACCTTCTATATCTCCACAATTGAGTAAAGAGAGTCAGTACCTTATAGTGACTCCATGGGGGCACCGTGAGTGTTAAAATTTCATTCTGAAGCAGTAGGAGTGTGGCTGTCTCAAGAACCTCCTCTTGTGACATTTTCATGTGTATATGTCACAGTTAAATTCCCTGTACAGATATCTTAAACAAACAAACAAAAATGCTTTTTTTTTCAAAAACAGAGAACAGGAAGGTAAAGTAGGTCCTGTCTGGGGATTGGTACCAGAGGCAGGAGGGAGGATATAAGGAAAGGGTATAGGAGGTGAGTGTAGTAGAAATATTATGTACTCAAGTATAAAACTGGAAAAATGAGACCTGATGAAACTATTCCAGGAACAGGGGAAAGGGAGAATAAAGGAAAATGATGGAGGGGTGAATTCAACTATGATATATTGTAAGAACTTTTGTAGATATCACAATGTACCCTGAGTACAACAATAAAATGATAATTAAAAACAAGATTAAAAAAAATGAACCTCTCCTTCCTCTCAGGTCCTGGACATTTCACCATATATGTCACTGTTACTTATACGCTTGCAGTCCAAAGTAGACCAGACAACCTTTGCTGCCAGAGCACATATCTCTTCATTGCATCCCATTGGCCACAATTTTCCAAAATTCTGCCTTAAAACACTCTAATACTCAAGGCATAAAAATGATGCTTTATTTTTGAAATCCAATGTTTGGACAGCTGCTACCTGTAAACATTTCTGTGTTAAATTGCAACTAACTAGAATAGGAAGTGAACCAAATTATCCATTCTCCCATCATGCTAGATTGAAATTTGTGGTACTTGGCACTCAGGCTTGCATTCTTGGAGTCAGGTTTATCTAAATTTCAGTGTTTTAGGGTTAGAGACAGTAACTCTTTAAATTCTGTTTTCTTCCTGATCCCCTGACTTGTGAAGGTATTGTCTCTATCTGGGAAATAAAATGGACACTTCACTAGGAAGGTAGAAAACTTGTTTGTTATGACATAGTGGGAGGTTGACACTGAAAGATTTTTGACAGAAGGATCAGTCTTACACAAGCTTGTGACATGCAGAAATGTCTTCATGTTAACAGTTCTGGTGCAGTCTGTGATCAGAATATCCTGGTTTTTGTGCTCCAAATGGAAAAGTCCAAGGAGAAAATGTGGATGGGGTGAGGTAAGATAGCTTTATTAGGAAAAAGGGAGTCATCTGTTCTGCCACATGAAGAAGGGGAAGAAGAAGGAGGCATGGTGCACACAGGGGGAGAGAAAACTTTTGGTTTTCAGGTGCCTTTAAAACCTACACTCCTCCATGGGAGGGCCAGTCCAGGAGGTTCCCACCCAATAATGAACAAGTGGGGAGGAGAATGGGTGGTTCCCAGCCAGGTGAGGGTGGTCTGGCCCATTCCCAGGCAACCTACATGAGCCCCAGACTTTTCCTACTTCTAGCTTGCCTCACTCAGAAATCACTGATCTGCACTGGAAAGGAACATTTGGGTAACATGCACTTCTTCGGTGCTGAATAGACTAATTCCTTGCCCATTCAAAGAACACTTGTATTTTAGGACAGGAACTCAAGAGTATGAATGGGATTTCAAACATTAGAGTGAGATTAATTTTGAGGAGTCCTGCCTTAATTTCCAAATGACATTGAGTTGAAGCACAGCAGACAAAGCAAGCACCAGAAAACTTCAGGTGGGAGTCCAATGAGATGATGATAGGATTTAGAAGAATTCATGTCTAAAACTTTGTTCTTATTTCTGTAGCTATCAACTGCAAGTAAGTACCCTGAGCTTCTGTCAGAGGAAGAAAAATCATTTTCAAGGCTGTTTGATCTTTCCAAGTTTGCTTTGTGTCCTCTGAGAAAGTTTAGATAAATAGACACATAACAATAAAATAAATTATTTTTATTGCTGCGAAAAATTATTTTTTCTTCGGGACTCTTTCAGGTCAGAAACTTAAATTAAAAAGTAGTAGTATGTGTCAGATTAAAAAAAGGCACTGGATAGGTGGAAGGTGGTTCCACATCAGCACAGGTTTTATGAGGGAGAAGGAACCTGCAGAAGGGGTCTCTAGCAAGAGAGCTGGAGCCCACTGCTGCATATAGGTTTGGGGTAAAAATAGAGGGGCAGGGGTTGGTGGAAAGTACCAGGGCATGGACTGGATGGAGAAACTATTTATGTCTAATTGTTGCTGGGTAGGGAAGGCTGTGGTTGAGTGAGTTTGTCACAAGGCAGCTATGCAAGGCAATTGCTTCTCAAGGTGGGTAAGTTTCATTCTTGGGACCAGATGTGATTTTTTTCCAGTAAGTGGTGGGGTGTTTCTAGTAAGCTGCCTGTGATGGGGAGGGGTTATGGGCCTAATATGGGGGTCCTTATGTTTGCTCTAATAGTATGGAGAGAGCAGTTTGGAAAGGCTACAGTATCTCTGAGAGTGGTAATTTATTAAGCAAATGCTGTGTGTCTGGCACTTTGCTGAACACGCTGTTGTCAAATCATGACACTTAGTCGGTTGCTCTTTTATTATTATCCTAGTCCTTATAAGTGAGAAAGTTCAAGGTCACAGCAGTAAATGCTAGAACCAGGATTTGAACCCACATTGCCTGGCTGCAGGTATTCTAGCCTCTCGCTATATTACCTCTTCAATCGTCTCCATGCTGCCTCTGTTGCCCTTGAGGGAATTTTTCTGCTGAAGGGGAGGGCCTGCACATGATAGTGGAGGAAGATGGTTTGTGAAATGTGCTAATACAGCTCTTCTTTGCTTTTCAGGTTTTGGAGGTGCTCTGGGTTACCTTTTGGGTGCCATAGACTGGGCCCACCTGGAACTGGGAAGAGTGATGGGCACAGAATTCCAGGTCATGTTTTTCTTCTCTGCCTTGGTGCTCACTTTGTGTCTTATTATTCATCTGTTCAGTATTCCTGAAACCCCACTTACAGATGGTGCAAAAGACATTGCCCCACAGCAAGCCCCTGGGGACCCTCAGTTGTCATCAGATGGATTGCATGAGTACGGTTCTATTGAGAAAGTTAAAAACGGTTATGCAAACCCAGAGCTGGCAATGCAGGGAGGAAAAAACAAAAAATCTGCTAAACAGGTATAAATGAAAATTCTTTTTTCTTTACTTGGGAAAAATATTCTTGCTCTTGATCTTTCTTCTTTTCTTTAAAAAAAATTGTTTTGTTTGCTTGTTTGTTGTAAAGAGTTTTGTGAGGTCCAATTGAATCTTCAAAATTCCAATAGCTATTATCCCTTGGAATGAAATTTTTGCATATCAAAGAAAACTGTGTACATTTTTCTCTGGTCCTCTTGTTTCTTGCTCTTTCAGAGCATCAATGCAGGGAAGATAATGCCAGTTATGAAAGGTTGGGCCATACGAGAAGCCTGAAATCATCCTCAGGCCTGGAGAAACAGTTTCTTAGATTAGGATGATAAACTATAGATTTGTTCCTCCAAATGGAATTATCCTTGGGTTGATAACTGAATTTGATATATAGATTTTGTATTAATCTGATTTCACTCAATATTATTGATTAAATCAATCATTTGATTGAATATTACTTTTTATCCTTTTTCAGTGAACTGAACAGCAAATTTGTTAGCTTAAAATGTTAACGATAACTAAATGCCGGATAAATGGGATAATGTTCAGATGAAATGGTCAAAAAGGAGACTAAAAGTATGCTACCAACTCCATGGGACTATTTCAATTTAAATTAATTAAAATAAAGTTAAGACTTCAGTTCTTCCATTACTATAAAAAGTCAGACAACACAAAGCTGTAAGTAGGATGAGAAATATTGCCTCGAGTGGGGAGCCATTCACTCATCTGAAGCTTCTATTACTTAACGGAAAGAAGAGTAGGACTAGGTAACCCTTGTTAGTCTGACACCTCTAGCTTCTTATGCTGGTAGCTGTGTAACTTTTGGTACATTAATCCACTGAGCTCAGATTTTCATCAGTAGATTGAAAATAATTGCTAAGTACTGTATGGATTTCTAAGAGTTAAATAACAATATTGAAGGTGAAGACTCTACCTGGTCCAGTGATTTACAAATAGTAGTTACATACTTCTGCTTTCTTTTTAAAGCATTGCAAATTCAGAATTGAAATGTAGGCACATTTGATGTCCTGGGAAAGAAAGGCCTTGGGGAGTGTATTTTTTAAATTACAAAGAATGAAAAAAGGGTTACCAAATATTATCAAATGAATACAGTTTTATGATATTCAGGCACTCCTGTCTGGACCTCCCGGCAGATGCTCACTAACTCTGCAGACTCTGATTGTCTTTCCTAATCCCCCCAGTGCAGGAATTCGTCCTTTTGACCTGTGAATTATCGCATTCAGTCCTCTCTTGGGTCTTTTCACTTCTATGGCTGTTTGCTAACTTGTTTGTGTCTTCCCCAACTGATGGCAAGGAATTCCTTGGCATAGGTGGCTTCTGGTCCCTTCCCACCCCTGACATTTACCTCAGTGTCTGCCATGTAGGAAGCTGGCAGCAAATGTTCCATTAGTTGGTTGTTGATAAAAGCAACAAAATAGTTGTGTAAAATATAGATCTTGCAGAAATTTGGGTAAATAATAAGAATGTTTCACACTGTGTGCATAATTCATTCATTTATTCATTCAATAAAAATTAATCACTGCTGCCAGACCCAGTGCAGAGCATCAAGAAGATTGTAACAAGTTGTTCTTGAGGAAAGTGTAATCATGTTTTATTTTAGTTTCTTAATAAATTCTTAATTTAAATTAATTTTAAATTTACCAAAGAGTTTCAAAGACATTAGGGAGAGTTCCTGTCTATTCTTTACCAGCTTCCTCCTAATGTTGACATCTTACACAACCACTCACATTTGTCAAAACTAAGAAATAAACATTGGTACAATACTATTAAACAAATGGCAATCGTATTTGGATTTCATTAGTGATCTCACATTGCGTTTAGCTCAGTAGTTTATAAAATTTGAAAACTGCTTTTTTTCAATGGCATTTTAACAAAACGTTTTAAGAAAATATTTTTACACTGATGGTCAATAGAAAATCTCATTTCTGCCTATTCATTTGTGTGTATGAATTAAAATCTTAGTTGCCAGTTACAGAAATCTGTAAAGTTTTCTCAAGATTCATTTCTCCCTCAAGTATTGTTTGGTCTGTTCATTTGCTTAACATGTCTTTAAAATTAATGCAAAGGTAAACCTCAGCATTGCTTGTGTTTACTCTGGCAAAATGCTTACCTAAGTAAGAACTGTTGAGAAGAGGCCTCACTACATGAGCATCACTGCCTTGGAGTTCTGTTCCTGCAGTGTTCCAACCTGCCTTCCACCATACCAGTGGATAAGAGAATACTATGGAAGAGAAGAATTTTCCATTCATTTGATCCCATTCATGATTCTTATTTTGGGATGAGTGCAATATTCTCATAACAGGAAAAGCACAAGGAGGAATGGGAAGGTCATTGGGAGGAAACCTTCATTTTATCTCCATCACTCAGCATTAGAGAAAATATGAACATTTAGGTCTCTTGAGACGTGGGCTGCACTACATTTCCCTATACGGGACTGCATGGGGAAGAACACCTGTGTGCTCAATCCCTCCTCCACTAACAAATTAGGTCTCTGGGATCACAGGTGAAACTCAGGCCCCTTGTGTGCAGTTCTGTGAGGCAGCATGGGAGTTGTGGATGTCCATATAATTATCCAGGAGATAATTACAAAATGTGTGTGGTTTTGAAAATTCCATATTAGAGTCCCCCTCAAAGAATCACCAGGCATGGGACATACTTCCACTATGAGGATCAAATGAAATCAAGTGAGTGGAAGCTTTTTGAGAGGCATGAAGTATTCCACATTAGTAGGAAGTTGCATACATTGAATAAAAGTAACTTTCACTGGGGAAATATTGATCAGAGGACATAAAGGAGAGTCTTTACTCCCTTTCACTGCATGTGGAATAGGAACTATTTCTCACTTTTTCCCCAATTTCTCCCTACTTTTTATCACGTTATACTAAATTTATTTCCTAATAAACTTTGCTATCAAAACACAGGACACAAAAGTTTAGTTAGGCAGGAAGATTAAGTTCAATTAATCTCTTGTACAATATGATGATATAGATGACTAATTAGTGTATAATTAATGAATAACTGCTAAGAGAGTAGATTTTAAGCATTTTCACCACAAATAAATGATAACTACGAGAAATGCATGTTATTTCTTTTAATCATTCCACAATGTATACATAGTCTAAAACATCAGGTACTATATCGTAAACACTTGCAATTTCTGTCAATTAAAAAAATAAATAGCAAGAAAAAAGACAAAGAAACTTCATAGTATATGCCATATACACAGCACTGTAAGCTCTGGATGGTTTTGTCATTTGGTTTAAAAACAAAGTAAGAGTAACATATCTTAGGCTCAAAAACAAGCATATGGCACTTTTCTTTCAAAAGCTGACCTTGGGAGGCCTCTAGCTAAGGAGTGGAAGTCTGCGCCTCCCATCAGAGCCAGGCCAAGGCCAAGGCCCTCATTTCTCAAAGTCATTACTTTCCAAAACAAGGGGGGCTGTGCAATTTGGAAACTAGAATCTTTCTTTTTAATGGCAAGAGGTCTGAATCACTTTGGATTGAAACTAGATCTCATCTCCAACTCTTCCATGCCAAAAAAAATAGTTACTCTTTTTAACATTTGAAAGTCTCCTCTTTAGTATACTTTGGTGGAGTTCTCTTTTCACTGATAACTCTGTGCATTTTTCTCTTATACCTTTAATTCTGAAGCTGACAGTGCAGTCTATGCACTAAAACAATTCCCTGGGGCTCAGAACCATTGAAAGGTCTTTCCAAGGGAATTGACGAGTCAGGAATAGAATGCCAGCTGAATATTCATTTTAAGTTAAAATACTCAAAGGAGCTTTGAATACTTACATTCCCAGCTTTTACAGAAATACTAGGTACAATTTAAAAGCTCATATTTATTTTTGGAAGAAAGGAGAAATTAGGTTAACAATGAAAGCAGGCTGAAAATTATGTATAAGGCAGAAGCACAAATTTATATTTGGAAGGACACTGAATAGTTGCTTGTTAGATTCACTTCCTCAATTGTGTATTTTTGGAAATAGGGGAAGGAAAGTGAAGATAAATCACTTAGTTTGAAGCACAACAACCAGGGTGTTGTTCCATAGGCAATATTGTTAGCTACTTTTTCCTGTGGTTGAGGAAAAAGTAGTAATTCTGTGCTGTATTTCTTTTACAATTACCCCTTATTTTGACAGGTACCATGTTCTATATGCAAAAAGCAGTTATTTTTCCTAATTCAAATAGAATGTTTTATAATACCAACTAAGTACAAGAAAATCAGTAAGTCATGGTTGGTGGTTCAAGAACTATAAAACTGATGGATTAAAAAATATCAACTTACATTAAAAGCCTGAAATTGGTAAATCAAATTTTCTACAAAAAGAAGTAAAAAGCATTATCATACAAAGTTAAGAGTTATAAAACAATATTGCTGTTAGAATTAAATTAGAAAATCTCAGGAGACTGATAAGTAAACAGCTAGGATTCAATTTCATTACTCCATGATTTAGAATAAATAAAAAGCTGACGAGAAAGAGTCATCACCCTATCAGGGTAGATGCTTATACTCTCAATGTCATGGGGACAGCTTCTTGCCTAATATTCCAAGGTTCCTTTCTCCTCTTATATGACAAGATGTTAAAGTCTCCTTTTTTTCTTTGTATTCAAAACAGTTGTCAATAGTTTAAAGTTTTTAATTGTCTTAAGCTTTCTGAAACCCAAAAATAATTTCAGCCTCTGGTTTCAACATGATATAAATCTAAATTGAAGGCTTTGGGGCAAGTATATTCATCATTTATGTGTATGTGTTTACAGTTACATTGTAACTTAATACAAGGTTCATTTACATACATCCACTATTGGCAGGATCCACAAAAATGACCTGAGAGGAGGCACCTAATCAAGAGCAGGGAGCTGGCTGGTTGTCTGTATTGGTTTTCTGTTGTTTCATAAATAATTACTACAAATTTAGCAGCTTAAAACACCATCCATTAATCATTTCAGAGTTCTGTAGGTAAAGTCTGGATGGGCTCCACTTGCCTCTCTGCTCAGTCTCCCAAGGTTGAAATAAAGACATCAGTAAAGCTGTGTTCTCATCTGGTGACTGAACAGGAAAAGAGCCTGTCTTCCAGCTCAGTCAGGTTGTTGGCAGAATGTAGCTCTTTATGGTATAGGAGCCCTGTTTTCTTGCTGATCATTGGTTAGGAGTTGCTCTTAGCCTCAAAGTCCACTCTCAGGTCCTTCCCACATGTCATCTTCTGTCTTCAAGGCCAGAAATCTCTGTGTTTTGAATCACTATGACTTCCATTTCTGCTATCAGCTAGAGAAAATTCTGCTTTCCAAGTGCTTATACAATCGGACCAGGGTTACCCAGATAATCTCTCTCTGACTAATTCAAGGTCAACTAACTAATAACCTGAATTTTATTTTCAAAATCTCTTTGCCAGTGGACAACATCAAAGAACAGAGGTCATGAAGGCCATCTTGGATCTTGCCTACTGTGCTCTCAGAGTCAAGAAATCTAAGGACTATAATTATCTAAGGACTGGTTTTCACCTGTAAGCTTTGTCATCCATACAATAGTATCATTCAAAGATAGGATGCTAACCTGTCTTTTATATCTTAGACAGAAGCTAGCACTGTTCCCAGATTTTTTTGCCCTTTAGTCATCTGAGCCTGAAACTACTAAGCACCATTCATTCTTAACAGGACACCTTCTATGAGTTTATTCTATGGAAATCTATGTGCTTTGCTCAGGAAAAGTGACCTCATGTGGTGGACAAATGAAAGAGATGCAACATGTCTATGTGTTCTGGCTCCTGCAGCTGGCTTGGTATCTGCCCTGCAAAGGTCACACCTTTGTTTCATGTTTTATTTCAGACTCCTCAGAGGGCAGTGACCATTAAGTCACTCCTGAGGGCACTGGTGAACATGCCTTCCTATTACCGCTGCCTTTGCATCAGCCACCTCTTTGGATGGACTGCCTTCCTTTCCAACATGCTTTTCTTCACAGATTTCATGGGCCAGGTAATGAACCTATTTGTACACACCCATTGCTCACACAACAATCCCTAAATCAGCATCTTTTAAGTTATTTTGCATTTACATCTAGAATGGGCACAGTAAGCATGTAGGAAAGAATACCTTCAAGAATCTGGCTTACAGACAAGTTCTAGAAGTAAGCTGGTACACCTGTACAACTACAGGACACTATGAGACATCCCAGTATTGATTAAATATGACAAATAAGAGAATCAATGTGAGCTGTAGAGATCATGGCAGGCTTCATAAAGGTAGCACAGAATGATCTTGACCTTGAAGGGCGAGTCGGAGTTGCAGAAATACAGGAGGAAGAAAAAAATATTCCCAATCTGGAGATGAGTCAGAAGCATCCAGAGGATGGGTGGCAGGAATGCTTAAATCAGGAGGGGCCAGATGTTAGGTGGTAGGATGAGTGTTGAAGATCAAAAGGAATGTTGCTTAAACTTGATGCATAGCCATTAGACTTCCTGAAAATCCTTGAAGGAGGCATGAGAGATGGAAAGCGTGACTTGGTAATAGAATGAGCTCTGTGCCCTAGGAATTAGCCCCCTGGTCAGGGACATGTTCCTCCCCAGGGATGGAGGAGTAGAGTGCATGAGAAGGGTTCCTCACCATATTGCATTTGTAGCTCAACTGCTCAACCCTCTCTTTCAGATTGTGTACCATGGAGATCCCTATAGTGCGCACAACTCCACTGAGTTTCTGATCTACCAAAGTGGAGTCGAGGTTGGATGCTGGGGCTTGTTCATCAATTCTGTGTTTTCTTCACTTTATTCTTGTAAGTTTCCCTCTCCTAAAGTTTGGCCCAGCCAAACTCAGATTTTATATTTCTCTATATAATTTCTTCTCTTAAATACTAGATTCTTGAGATTAGAAAGGATCACATGAAGTATTCCATTTCATAGTGAATTGTAGGTGTTTTCTTCAGTGATTAGTTAGTGCTTGAAATCAGTGTGTTCTCAATCAAGATTTCCTGGAAAGTAAAAAGTAATGTGAACAGGATGGTGAAGTGTTGGATGAATGAGCAACGAAGTCTCAGCAGGTCCACAGGGTGGTGTTTCACAGATGTGTTTGTCAGATTTGTAGGCGATACAAAATAGGAGGGATGATTTATATGATACCTGACAAAATGCACGTGTAGCATGATTTGGGCTCTGATGTGCTATGTTCTTGGAGATTGAGGACAACTGACCTTTCTTCTCAGGTGCCAACTTTCCAAGGGGTCTTGAACCTCTTAGTCCCCTACTTGGTTATGTTGTGAGGTCACTGGACAAAGATACTTTTGTCATTGATTTAAAGTCAATGCAAACTCTTGTGCTAGAACTCTAGAGAGTCCCACAGACTCTCCTCCTGCTTGCTGGTATGCGTGGTGATCTCCAGGCTCTGTGTGTGTTGAATTAAGTGAAAGTATTGCCTGAAGTACACACTGGGGTTCTCTATTTGGGGTAGGAATTTGGTTCCTAATAATGATGAACTCTTCTCACTCCTCTCTGCTCCTCCAGGGTTATGCGGGGTGGGGAGAATCTGTCCCTCAACCTAGAACTCTAGGTTTTGGAGAGGCACAGAGGACACCAAGGTATAGCACAGTTTAGGGAAGGGGAAAAGATGGGGAGAATCCATTACCATTTCCTGGGGCACTATGTCATTGAAGTGTGCATCTCGTAAGGGTAAGGGTTGAACCTACCTCTACCCTTCATGGTACCATAGATTGCAGGAAACCCACTTGAAGATCTCCTCAAAAGTTAGCACAATTGTGGTAAGGGTCCTAATATAACATAGAAGGAGTTCATGAGTCCAATAAATATAAACCCATAAAATTCATTATTGAAAAATTGATGATAATCAAATCGTGGTAGTTTAACACTTACATTTATTTTTAAGACAATAAAATATTTATCACATATTGTGATTCTTTCAAGGTTACCTCTAAAGTTGAAGTTTTGATTTCTCTTAAAGAAATCCCTTTTTCAAGGAACTGATGCTTAATCTAGTTGTCCTATCAGCCCTCCATAGCAAGAACATAAAAGATGATCATACAGTAACCAAGAAAGGGTTGGCCTCACTACATGCAACCAAGAAGCATTACGATGCTGCATCTGTAAGGATTTGGCTATTGTAAAACCTTATTAGCAAATATCATTAGCAATGAAGTCACCATTAGAGTTTCTTCTGGCTTGCACTGTTATTTTCTATTGGGCAGTGTTCACACAAAGTGATAAAATTAAGAAAATGTTCCTGATAGGTTGATTGCTAAAGAGGTAGCACATAGAAAACCTAGTGGGAGATTATACTTCTTCAGCAAACACTTTTTCCCCCTGAGAATATATGAAGTAAGACAATTCCAGGAAGAAGATTTCAGGTACTTAAAATAGAAGCAGAAAATGTTAGACCAAAAGAGTCTGATAAATTATCCATCTGCATTCTTTTGTGATTTCAAGGGATGAGGGGGCTATTTACTACCACCTTCGTTTTTATGAGGTGCACATTTTTTCTACGTGTAATTAGTATTTTAATTTTGTGCCAATTTTAACTTTTCTTTCTTCCAAGAACCCCTAGTAGGAAACATTCCATCAGTGTAGTTTGAGTTTCTGTATCAATTTCATGGCATTCTGAAAATTAAAAAATCTTTTTTAAAGGAGTTTTCTTGTTAAAAGCCCTATGTATGAAATAAAATATTATCTGAATAGTCTCCTAAAGTTTATCAGTGTATAGCTCTATCAGATCCCTATAATTGCGGATGTGAACCAAAGTTTTTTATTTATAAAATTCCAGCCATCTTTGTTCAAGGGTCTCCAGGAGTGCTCCACGCCCAGAGAACAAGGTCCAAGTCCTGAGCACGGCATTGAAGGACTTTTACAGATTGGCCCCATCCCATGTTGACCTCTCTCACTCTCACTCAAGTTAACTATGCACGATGACCCACCACACAGACTTTCACATCTCTGGGCATTTGCCAGTGCTTATGATTTCTTCTACCTGAGCTTCTCTTATTTTCCCACCTAGACAACTCCTAATCATTCATTCAGACCCACCTTAAATATTACTTCCTCGAGGAAATGTTCAAACTTTTTCTCCTGCACACCAACCCACCCCAGAAAGAAACAGTAATTTCCCTCACTTCCAGACCACACTCCGTTACCCTTTATTTTGGACTGATCACATAATGTCAGATGTAGATCCAGCATCTCCAGCCAGATGGAGCTGCCCAGGGCAACCTGGATGCTGGGGTTGGGAATGGTGAGAAAGGATTTGTTTTCAAGCTCCTTTTGCATAGCAAGTACCCTCATGCCAGTTAGAATAGCAATACTGAGTACTGAGATGCAGCCAACTGCTCTTATCTGCTACTCATAGCCAGTGCTCAAATCAATCACTTCCCTCCAACCCCCCAGCTCTCTTGCACTTTGTGAAGATACGGCATCCATAGGTGACAGACCCAGCTGAAAGCAAGGGAAATTTGGCCCTGAAGTCTATTGATTTCTCCTTAGGAATAAAACATTCATTGTCAGACTTTCAGTCTTTGTACTGAAGTTACTTCTGTATCCAAGAACCTCTTTATCTTTCCTTGCTTTTCCTTGGCTGGCCTACAGATTTGGATAAGAGGTGAGTATTGATGGTAGCTTTTAAGCACTGAGACGCTTTAGATCACATTTTCTGTATAAACATAATCATTAAGCAAACAGCTTGTCAAATCTTATTATGAAACCGACCTAGCTTTGGATTGCTTCCCTTCTCAGCCTCAGCAACAGCATTCCAGGCACGGGCTGCATTTAATAGAGGAAGCAGTGCTGCCTGCTTGTCATTTCCAGAGCTGGTCTTCCATCTGATGACTTGAGGCAGAGTTTTGTTTCATAATTGATTCAAATGTAATACAAATTTTTGTCTATGAGGTATAAGTCCAAGAATTATTCGGACAGATATGGAATGTTTCATTTTTTATTAGCTTATATTAACTGTATGGGGGGGTTTTATTGTGATATTTCCATACATGCATGTAATGTAGTTTGATCAAATTTGTCCCTTCTATTACAAATTTGTCCCTTGTAATAGACATTTTAACGGGTTTTATTATTTTATTTTCATACATTCATATAAAGAACTTCAATCATAATCACCTCTTTCATCTTCCCCCTAGTTCTCCTCCCCAAACAGTTCCCATTTTGTATTCATATCATTCTTCTTTAAGGTGGGGAAGATAGCTAGATCCCACATATGAAAGAGATCATGTCATATTTTATTTTACTTAAGTTGATGACCTCCAGTTCCACACTTGAATAGGCACATTTCAAATAATCATCACTTATACTCTGGTTCATGTGCTCCAGTAGAGTGAGGCAGAGGAGAGATAGCTCTACCCTCATACTTGCATGAGCCTCCAGCAGGGGAACCAAGTTAAAGTCAGCCCCGTCTATAGCTGTGGAAATAGCAACAGCCACCTTAATTGGACATCTCTCAAGTGCTCAGCGTTGAGCGGGTGATTTCTCAGCCATTTTGCCTCATTTGATCCTGACAACTCTCCTCTTCCCCAAAGAGTTGCATCATTTCCAGTTTTTTCAGATGAGAAAGCTGAGGTGATGAGAAGTTGAGAAGCATGTCTATGGGACGGAGTCAGCCATGGGGAATGTGGGGAACCCTTACAAGTGCTGGGAAGATAGGAAAAGTGTCCGCAGAAAATTGTACATTCCTCACTTATTCCTTACATGTATTGACTGCATTTGGGGGTGGGGGACAGCAGTAAGGAAATGTGAATGATTTGGATCATTCTGCAAAATTTGGTTGTTTTACTTTTCTCCCACCTGAACTTGGGTGGTGGGATCAGGATAAGCATGGATCTTTCCTTTGGTTCTATTGGGCCAGGCATCTCTAATCAGAATAAACCTCAATTTTCCTCCAGGTCTTGTGGTTCCAGGGTTGCAAACCCAGGTGGGCTTTTCTGCTCCCCTTTTTATATTCTTTTGCTCTCTAGCTGGCTCCTAACAGTGTTTGGTCCTCCTCTGTGGAAAAGGAAATCAGCCCAGCAAAGCAATTTCAAGCTGTCTTTTATGCAAAGGATTTAAAACTGATCCCAAAAGCCAGCTGTTCTGAATCCACAGATAAAGAGGTTCTTTTGTCCCTGACTTGGTAGCAAAGGAAGTTTCCTGAAAAAATAAATCTTCAAAAGAATGGATTGTCTAAAATTACTAAATATTGTGAGACACTGCCAGCTGTAATTTCTCCTTTTCTTCTCCCCACAGACTTTCAGAAAGCTTTGGTTTCCTACATTGGATTAAAGGGTCTTTACTTCGTGGGATATTTTCTGTTTGGTCTGGGTACGGGATTCATAGGACTCTTCCCAAATGTCTACTCAACCCTGGTCCTGTGTGCCTCATTTGGTGTAATGTCCAGCACTCTGTACACTGTGCCCTTTAACCTCATCGCTGAGTACCACCGTGAGGAGGAGAAAGAGGTGTGTCCTCATTGAATCTCTGCCTTGTGTAACAACCTCACAGGAAGGTTGAGGGTGGGAGTAGGACTAAATAGGAAAGCACAGAGCTGAGTTGGAAAATAAGGGTTCTTGAAATAGCAGCACTAAATTGCCCAACCAATCACAACACAGGTGTGACCACCAGCCTGGCCCTGCCCACTTACTCTGAACGCTGGTGCACCTGGTAAGCTTTTGAACAAGAATCCTTACTTCCATTTGTCTGCTTAGGAAAAGGAAGCTTAGCACTGCTGAAAAACCAGGCCACGATTACACAGAGATACAGAAAGTGAGCCCAGCTCTTCTACAACCACTCACAGGTCTTCCTAGGGCACATGCAGCATTTTTGGATACCTATGGTGAGGATCCTCCTGACCCCAAGAACTGCAGAGGGGCACAGTGGACTTTCTGGGGGTTTGGGTTGTGGATCAGGATTTCCTAGGCACCATTGTCTTCAGGAAGTCCAGGCTTTAGTAAGTGTGCAGGGAGGAAAGTTGGAGCCACTAGTGGTCATCCTCACCATACTATCTAGAACAGTATCCACCCATCTATAGCTTGCAACTCAGACAGGAGAGAAAGACCTTAAATGTACCTTACAAGAACACCTGGGTGTTTCTGCTCTACATGATCCCTTGGTCTGGGGACAGGATTCAAAGGACTCTTTCCAAATGGTCCTGTGTGCCTCGTTTGGTGTAATGTCCTTTAACATCATCGCTGAGTACCACCGTGAGGAGGTACATTCTTACCAAAATGTGCAAATTTTTTCTCCATGCAAATAATCTTATACTTCCTTAACTAGAGCAGCAGTGTTAAAGCTAACGAGACACTTAGAATTGAAGCCATCTCAGCATGAATCTGCAAAACACTGAACACATGTCTATGTGATTGTAATTCCATCCTTCTTTTGCATCACTTGATCTGGCAAATACAGCAGGAGTTACAACCTTTCAAACAAGGGGTGTGGCTGTCCTCATCCTCTGGCAAACATGGCTGCCCACGGCAGGGGTGGATGCTATTAAAAAGAGACTCATCTTGAAGAACTGGTCTTCCACAGAGGGAGCTACATAACACCAAGGCAAAAAAACCACGAATATGCTGTGGACTTGGAGAAACCTGGATTCAAATGCTGCCTCTCCCACTCTGAGGCTGCATGACACTAGGGATACTGTTCATTTACTTATTAAGTAGCACTTAAAATGAATTTGCTTTCAGATGAGGCGATATACTTACATGGTTCAGCAATCAGGATGATGAACAAAAACATACATTGTGAAGTGGCTCCTCCCACCATTTTCCTCTTCCTCCCTCCATGATCCCTCACCATTTTTTCTAGTTCTTTAATTTATACTTCCAATATTTTAAAATGAAAATCAAACAAATATAAATCTACTGTCCTATTTGTTCTTTCATACTCAAAGATAATATGCATTTTTTCTATAATGTTTATTTTTACTCAAGAATAGAGGAGATCACTCAAATTCTCAGGCCCTCAACATCCTCATCAGTTAAATGAAAACAATAGCATTCATTATAGAAATGTTTTTGGAAAATTAAGCTCTATACATAGCATAGAGCCCAAATAGTACCTAATAAGGACTCAAAAATGTAGCCTTATAGTTATCATGGGATAATGATAATAATACATGCATTTAGGGAGGTGTGAGAGTGAAACAAAATACCACATATAAAAGAAATTTCACGAGGCCTAACACATCCAGTAAATGAAAACTAATTTATCAAACATTAAATGGATACCAAACATTAAGATATTAGTCAACTAACCATCTTTTGAATTGGTTTATTGTTTTTGAGTTGCTTCTCCTGAGCATATGAGTGATTCAAAGTCCTTTGGAAAATGTTTGAATTTTTTAACACTAAGGAAGAAAAAGCATGGGATTTAGTCTCTAATGAGTTTCTACTACGTTTTATTTATTGATATTTTAGGAAGTGAAAATGTTGCATATATTAACCACTTAACCACATTTGTGTTAAAGGTGGAGTTTAAGACTTTATCACAGGTAGGGAAGACCACATCAGGCAGGAGGGTGGGGCTTCCTGGTGTCTTTAAGTTAGGGGTTACAAGACCCCTAACTTTGGCCTGCTGGCCAAAAGTGGCCACTACCTAGATTTTGCTGTCCATGAGCTAAGAATTGCTTTACAATTTTAAAATGAGGGTTGTTGAAGTGGCTTAAGTGGTGGAGCGCCTGCCTACCAATACAAGGCTCTGAGTTCAAACCTTAATACTGCTTCCCCCAAATTTTTTAAATGAAAACTTCCAAAGAAGGGTAATATTTTGTAACAGGTAAAAATGACATTAAGTCAAGCACTAATGTCCATAAAATTATATCAGAATACAATTAGTTTATGTAAGGTTTTATAAAATTGTTATGTACAGTGCTCTCATACTGTAATGCAGAGCCAAGCAGTTAACAGCCAAGATCTATGACTCACAAAAGTATTTCCTATCTGGCTCTTTACAGAAGATGTGTGCCAACTTCAGCCCTAAGTGACAGTTCCTTTTTGATCAAATGCTGTTCCTGTGCTTTCCTTGCAGAGGCTGCAGTCCCCAGGAGGGGACCCAGGAAGCAGTGGGCGAGGGAAGGGCATAGACTGTGCTGCTCTCACATGCATGGTGCAGCTGGCTCAGATCCTGGTTGGAGGTGGCCTGGGCTTTCTGGTCAACACAGCCGGGAGTGTCGTCGTTGTGGTGATCACGGCCTCTACGGTGGCATTGATTGGCTGTTGCTTCGTGGCTCTCTTCGTTAGATATGTGGATTAGCTCAATAAAGTGATATTAACCAAACTTCAGAAGAGTGAAGCCCCATGGCAGGAAGTTAGTCTCTTCTGAAGCTCTGCACCTTTGAGGTCTGCCCAGTGGGTGCCCTGTGTTGTGATCTCAGGTGGGGTCATCTGCCCATACCTCACATTGAGCTTGTCAACTGCATGGCAGTCCCCATGTTTCAGGCATCGTTTGTCTGGGCTATCTATGCCTGCAGGTACTAGTGGCAAAGGGTAAGTGTGGTTGGGATTACCTGTCACACTGCTTCTTTCTCACTGCCTCTCAGTGCATGCATGGCGAAGGTCTGTTTTTCATGGAACATTTTAAGCCTTGTTTAATTCCCGAGAAGCAGCTGCTTAGAGTTATTCTATAACCTGATTTTGTTTTACAACCAGTGGTCCATATATAGCTGGAGAGTCACATATTTTATCAAATTCAAAAATACTAAAGATATGTTGATGATTTCTTTTTATGATATTAATTTATTTATATTTAATGTGCTCATAATTCCTATTAATTTATGACATTCACACAAATCTGAATGAGCATCACATGCTAAAAGATTTACCACTTTAAAACAGCTCATTTCTTTGACACAGTCAAGCTATTTCTCTTGAGTCTGTGTCCTCATTTCAGTCCCTGGAGTCAAGACCAAAGTCTTTTAAGAATTGGCTCCTAATTCTTCTATGATCGTCTCTCCTCCCAGCTAAGCAGGTTTTTCTCTCGATGGCTCCCTTCAATTCCTTCCCATGTGGAAAATCTTCAGCAGTCCAAAGAGACAGCATGGCTTCATAGGGACACCACAAAGCATTGAACTCTGCTGGTTTTGAATCCTGGCTTTGCTACTCGGTAACAAACTATTTAACCACACTAAGCCACACTTGCTCATCTGTATGTTTTGGATAACAATTTCAGTCTCAGAGAATTGTGCTCATTAGTAATGCATGGCACTTAGAGAGTGCCTACCACTATTGTAAATGTTTTATCTTTGTTAACACAGCAATCCTGAAACTGGGTGCTGAGACTGAGCTCTATTGTGTAGAGGAGGAAACTGAGGCAGTGAGGCACTAAATTTATAACTCATCTGAAGCCACACAGCTCATTAAATGGCATAGCTGGGCTTTGAACTCAAGGGTCCGGCTCTGCTACTTCCTATAGGGACAGTACTTACAGGTGGCTGGCACTTGGGTGGCACTAAATGAGTGCTGTTGTCACTGTTGCTAAAGGCCCCTCATCCCTAAATCTGCTCCAGTCTTTCCTAAGGCTTCTCTACACAACTCCCAGTGTGCCTGACCAATGCAAAATGGAGATTTGTCCATATGCTTCAGAAGTTAAAAACTTATATTGTTCCTTGTCTTATCTCATCCTAGAGTCAGCTAGTGTAGTTATTGCCCCAGATGAATTTCTAGCTAACCAAACTCTTTGGTGCTGGGAGGGAATTTGGAGAAAAGAAATGAGCTGCCTCTGAGAACTGAAACATTGGAATTTGGGGTGTTTGCTTGCCTTGCGCATGGCAGAATGAATGGGTCTAATAGCATCACCAGGCCCTTGCGGTATCTGCAAATTTGCATCCCAAGAAGAGGAAGCATGTTTGGGTTATGCTTTGGAAAGCTTTGGGTTCTCTTTCACACAAATGTTGGGTGTATAAGAGGCACTGCCCTATTCCTAGCATTTACAAGATGATGAATGACACCCAAGATTCACAGGCCACCCCATTTTCTCTCCTTCTTCTCCTTTCATTTTTGTCTCTGTCAAGCACAATGAAAGTTCTGGTGTGTACTTTGGCATTAGCACGTCAATAACCACCCACACCCTCCATATACTCTACCACCTGTAGAAACAGCCACTCTTAGCCACCCCACTTCTAGAGGCATGCAGGCTCAGGGATGTACTCTACCTCTGGTGGATGGGCCAAGGAAAGCACCCAGGAAGGTCTTGTAAATAGACTCAGGGCTGTTTAGATGGAAAGCTCTAAGGTTCAGGTACTGGAGCAAACTCTACAAGGTAGGGGGACATTCCTTGCAATGCACGGAGGGGCGTGGGTTGTGGGCAGCCTCCCTCCCCTTCTCAAGGTCTCAAGGGTCTCAAAAGGCTGCTGGATCCCGTTGTCTCACACTCCACACTCGCTTTCTTCCTCCTGCTTGGGTTTCCGCAGTGCTGCTACAATTCTCCTGATGGCCTCTTTTTTTGTTTAAACAGCCTGCTGTCTGTCGCTACTTGGCTATCATACATGTAACTGGGGCGGGACACCTTGAACACTTCTGTGGCTCTCTGTGTGTGCGCGCATGATGGACAGGAGGTAGCGGACAGGGGCTTATGCTGAAGTAGCCACTCCTTCCTGCCTACTGTTTCCTGAAGGACATGAAGCTTCCTTATTTGATGTTAGACACCGCAGGCTTCTGCACGTTATGCTTTTCTTTCCAGATCACTGACTTTCCAGACTGGGCTAAGCTGTATTCCCAGTCCTGGGTGTGCTGCTGTTTCACTTATCAACACATGGGTGCCTTACATTTTCTGCTTTTCAATCTGGTACATATTCTTCACCCTTCCTGCATCATCTATCCCAGACAAGTGAGACCATGATTGAGTAGAAAAGTGATCAGGTAAAGCACCTGCTTCCAACCCAATAGCATAGAATGGTGGTGGGCAAATGCTCAGGGGACTCCAAGGCAAATAGCTCTCAATATTACAAAAGAAACAGTGCCAAACCACCTCTATTGATTCCTTTACTTATCTTTGACTTCTGCAAGGTTTGAAAATAGAATCACTTATAGGACTCAGTATATTTCATAGCTATTTTTTTCTCCCAAGGACTGTTTTTGTGTTTGAAGATTTGGAAATGAATGTTTGGGGAAACTGGAAAGGTGATCCATACCTCAGGATAATCCTACCTGGACCACCAAGAAGTACAAAATAGTCATTCCTGACCAACCCTAGAGCATAGTCTTTATTACATGTGCAGCTATTAAGTAAAACATCAGTGTTTTGGAACATTGAATAGAGGTTGAGGGTTGAGGAAGAGAGGTATAGTGCTCTCTCTCTCTCTCTCTCTCTCTCTCTCTCTCTCAGACACACACACACACACACACACACACACACAGAGTCATATACAGTATGCAAATATTTTACTAATTGAACTCAAGGTTCCATGCAAGGTTTGAATTAACTGATAGAATCCAATTCTAAAACCCTTTAATCACCTCTGAGACCCAAGTATTTGTTCTTAGTACACCACAGTGACATGTTCTATCTGGCCAAAACCACCACCACCAACAAAACATCCTGTTCCCAAATAAATGTCTCAAAAGAAATCCTGCAGGAGAAAGGAACTCACATTACTTTCCTTCCTGCTTCCCCAGCCAAGCACCTGACATTCCAACCTCACAGCCTTTCGTCACCACATTTCCTCAGCCTCTTGTGTCAGCTACCTCCTCACCACATCACATCATTCTGCCTAAATTGGAGCCATATTTCTAGGTCCATCTCAAATACTACTTTGATCAAGAAGTCTCTGATCTCCCTGATCTCCCAACAGAACTGATCTTTTCTTACTCTCTTCCTATAGCATTTTCTTTTAGCCTTACTATGACATTCAGCTCATTGTTCTGTGTCTTATCATGCTTGTGTCTGTGGTTGTCTGTGCACGTAGATGTTGCAGTTAGGCCCATGTCATGTTCACAAACAGGATCTTAGCACCCAGCACAGGGGGTAGCGCACAACAGGCACTTAAAAAGTGACTGTTGATTTCAACTGATTTGACCACCTCTTTATGGACTCTTCTGTTTTTGTGGTGGAAAGAAGTCAAGGTCTTTGATCCTCCTGCCATATTCTCAGGAACCCCTGGCTTTGGATTTGGACAAGGTAACTAACTCATTACAGAGTTTTTTCATGAAGACCTTGCCTCTAGCCCCTTCTCTTTTTCTAGTACCACACACTTTTTCTAAGCACACACTTTAACACCTTTTCCTAAGAATGCTGAGCTATCCACAAATTATTTCACTGCCAAAATTGAAATGGCAAGTTACTTTAATAGGAATCTTTCAGTAAGAGTCTAATATCAGTGTTACACATGGATATAGGACCACTCATTCTTTCCTATGTTGGCTTCTTCATTTATTTTGTACTTTTGTTAGCCTGATTGCTATTCAATGTCAATAATTTTTCTTTCCAAAAGAAAAGAAACACTAATTTGACTACTTTAAAACAGAAGTGCTATTCTGTTTTTATAAAAGAGTTAGCTTCTCAAGACTTTTCATGATTGAGATTCAATAATTTTGGTGTTTGTCGAAAAGTATATGAATGTTAAGTAAATGCATTGTGTTATTTTACAGAAACTGGGACAAAGGACAGAGGTGTAGAATTCATATTTTGAGCCTTAACTCTCACACACTACAGGAAAATTCCAACACAATTACTAAACAATTCTACAGTTCAAGAGGCAATTTAAACAGACATGGTTTTCTAGTGATTATTTATTTATTAAAATAATCACACAGGAGATGCCTGCATTATCAGCGTCTCCACACCAAATAGAATTGCCAGAGCACCTCTATCATGCATACAGGTAGGCAGACTGATGTTTGATCTCAGTTCTCAGAACAGCTTCACAAAAGGACTTTGTGGGGATCTTAACATCTTAAATTGCTACAAGGACAAAGTTGTCAGGAGAAATATGTATCATTCTCCAGAGACAGTCCCACTGCCTGTTTGGAAATTAGGGAAGAATTCATCAGACATGCTCAATGGTCAAAGCACTCTAGAATAAACAGAACATGATTAAGGTAGTCCCTTAAGGACATTCCTAGTTCTTACCTTCTCTTGTCAATAATATGCCCAATAAAGAACCCAACAGATGAAATTCTAGTGATCCTCTCAGCACAGCCTCTCCAGTCCTCTCTTCCTTTTAGGACAGATTTTACTTGAGTCTTATATTCTCTTTTTCATTCTACACTGCCTCTGGAAAGATCAGACTTAGGCTTCTAGGAATTTGGTCTGCAGGAAGCCCCTGCCCATCATTTCTTGCTCTTCTAAGCCTAAGTAAAACCTTACTGAGTCTTCCCTCCCTCTACTCTCAGATTCAGAGCCTGAGTCAAAGGGCCATAGGGATTCCCAAAGAGTGAGGGAGCAGCTGCAGAGGTCCCCCCCTCAAGACTCTTGTGGACCCTGCTCACCTGTAGCAGCAGAACAGAGCTAACAGTGTCTCTGAGCAGCTGGACTGTGCTCTCTAAGGAACCAAAGTGCCCAGACTTTGTCCTGAACTCCCAGTACTCCTGCACTGCATGTACTCCTCCACTACCAAGGAGCACAAGTCTTCTTTTTCTTTTAGGAGCAGTAGCCTAAGAAGATTTTTTCACTGCTCTCTCCCACAGTGATGCCACTCCTAAGCAAGCCTCTCTGCCTCGCTGGTGACAGGTGTTTTGCCCTTGGTGATATTGAACTCAGAGGTGCTTCTGGGGCTGTGGTAGGTTCAACTGTGCCCACTTTGCCCTGTTCAGGATGATAAAAGATATCAGGGCTCAACTGGGGGGGGTCTCCTCCGCCAATTCTTTGGGGGACAGACCAAAACGGTCACTGTTTTCTCCTAATTCTGAAAAGTTTCCTTCCCCCCACCAAACTTGAGGCTCCAGGGCAACCACTCAACAAGACAGATGTTTGCTCCTCCAAGGTCTTGCGGGCCAAAGCCAAAAGAAAGAAGTGGGCAGCTTCTCTCACTGGATGCGACCCTATAAAGGGCTCCCTAAAAGTCGCTGGAACAAATGCTCAGTTGACTGCACATCATTTGTCTAGACATGGTGTCTCTACTTTCCTGAAGCCCCTCTGCTTCTGGGCGTTCCCACTCTACCCAGCGTGAACAACAAGAGAAGAGGATGGGCTTTTGGGTGGGGATAAGGGTGGGGGTGGGGTGGAGAGCCAAAGCTGACTCCCTTCCCTGGAGAAGGCCCTCCAGCCTTTTCACAGGCTTCTCCAACCTTCTCCCCTTCCTCTTTTCCACCTACTTCTTGATCTAGCGGCCCTCTAGCCTCCCTTAATCAATTCGCTCTCCTTTTTCCCTGCTCGGGGGGAGCCACCTTGTTCTCCCCCGCGCGCAGAGCCTTCGCCTACATCAGTAAGCTGAACTGCTGGGCAGCAGGTCGTAGCGGCCCCCACTGCCTATCACCACGCCCGGCGGGTAGTAGAGCAGGTCCGGCTCTGTGGCCACCTGGACCGGCGCCAGGGCCTGCAGCCCGAGATCCTCGGGCTCTGGCTTGGTGGAGGCGGTGAAGGGGCGCATGGTGGTAAGCGAAGGCGACGCTATACGCCACAGCAGGTTCTTGAGTGCCTTTCGGAACTCGCGGCGCACGAGGCAGTAGAGAATGGGGTTTAGGCAGCTATTGGAGTGCGCCAGGCACACGCTCACGGGGAAGGCGTATACCTGGCACAAGAAGTACTCCTGGCTGAAGGGCACCGCGTTGAACTTAATGAGGATGCTCCAAGTGGTGAGCGCCTGGTTGGGCAGCCAACACAGGAAGAAAGATAGGACCACGATAGTAACTGATCTGGTGACCTTGGACCGTCTCCGAGCGCTTGCGGAAGTCAGGTTTCCCCCTGCAGCCGTTGTCCCTCCTTCAATTCCCACCACACGCCGGTCGGATATGAAGCGCACCAGCAGCAGGTAGCATAGGCTGATGATGCCCAGCGGTAGCACGAAGCCTAGTAACACCTTCTGCAAGTGGTACAAGCCTAGCCAGAACTGCCTGTCGCCACCCAGCAACTTGTCAGGGAAGCGCACCAGGCACAGCTCCTCTCCCATTACCCTGATAGTGGTGGAGAAAATGGCATTGGGCAGCGAAGCCAGCACGGCCAAAACCCAGATCACCACACACAGTGCCTTGGGTGAGAAGCAGCAGGTGTCTCCTAAGCTCTGACCGCAGCAGTCGCCTTGGCCATACCCTCGGGTCCGGTGGCTTTTAAGAGCCGAGGCCACAGAATGGTAGCGTGCCACACTCATGGCAGTGAGGAAGAAGACGCTGGCGTACATGTTCATGGACGTCACAATGGACACGACTTTACACATGGCCTTGCCGAAGGGCCACTTGAAGTCGAGCGCGTTCTCCACCGCCCAGAAGGGCAGAGTGAGCACGAACTGAAAGTCTGTCAGCGCCAGGTTGGTGACAAAGAGGTTGATGGAGGACTTGCGCCAGCCTTGCTTGCTCTTCATCAGGTAGAGCACCAGCATGTTGCCCGCCAGCCCCAGGGCGCAAACCACCCAGTACACCGCGCTGATGAGGATCCTTACCCGGGACTCTGTGTCCGCACTCTCTGCCCCGCCGCTGCCCGGAGGATGCCCTGGCGCCGCGCCGTCCGGCAGCTCCAACCCCAGCTCCCACCACAAGTCCTGAAGTTGCAGTGACCCGTTGCCGCTCGCGTTGGCTGCCTCCAGGAGGTCTGGGATCAGCCTGAAGAGTTCTGTAAACTCGTCGTCTCCAGCCTCCTTATTCATGGTGGCTGTCGTGGTCGCAGCAGCCACCTGCAAGCGCAGGTGCCTCTAGGACATGTTCTGGGAACCAGAGCTAAGGAGGCACGGTTCGCCCTGGGCGTGGTCCCCGGTGAGCGCGCGGGACGTGAGCAGGAGCTTTCAAGTGGCCGCGGAAGATAGCTACCAGTAACCGGGTCCTGAGTGCGTCCGGCGTGGGGAAAGCCGCCTTGGGATCAGCGGTTCAGTTCAACGTCTGCTCCAGAGAGGAATTAGAGAACAGAGGAGTTCAGCACCTAAGGGGAGCGGCAGGCGTCCATGAGTTCTCAGGCCCTGGTCGGAGACTCCAGGTCCCTACTTTAGGATTGAGATTTACTGCCTCCGTGTCCTGCTGTCACTTAGGCACTGGTGGATAACCCCCCACCCCGGCTGATCGGGGTTCCTTCTCTTCCCAATACCTTTGTTGGTTTCTTCTGCTGCTTGGAAGAGGTTTGTCCTGTAAGAGGAAAAACAGAGATGGCGAAGTTTCGTCTACTCTTCTCTGCTTGGAGGTCTATAAATGTTTCTGTCTCTCTGCTACTGTCAAGTCCCAGTGAATTACCAGAGGCACTTGCCGGCGTTGTACCCACAGATCCTCGGCGGCAAGCCACAGGAGCAGGCGTAATCCCCACGCTGGGAGGTGGGGTGCTTTCCGCGGTGCTGAACCCCGCCGCGCCCGACACCCGGGAGGAGGAAGGGCGTGGCTGCAGGCAGAGCCCACCGGCAACTCTCCTTTTCCGGTTCAAAGTTTCAGAAATAAATGGTCCTAACCTTTTATTTTCTTATGTTGCTGGAGAGTCTGCTTTGATTTGCGTTCCCTCTTCCTTTCTTAGTCTCATTAAGGTTGAATGGTTTTTTTCTTTTTTCCTCACTCACTTTATCATTGAAATTATCCCTTTCGATGAAGGGTTCAAAACTGTGGCATCTCTTGTCCCTGTCCCCTTTAAAAACAATGATAATGGTCTCTTTTCATGCCTAAATCAGATTATGGATCCTTATGGAACACACAAACACAAGATCTTCCTCCTTACCAGGATTTTCAAAGGGTCTTAAGATAGCAGAACTCAGGGCTGAGTTCTGTACTTTAGGGTATTCTGAGAAATGAAGCTGAATGGAGCATATCATTGGTTGCAGACTTCACATACATTAAATACCAGGCCCTCTACGAAAAGCTGCTGGACAAAGTGTTTGATCACATCTACCTGACCCTGTCTTTGCCAGTGGAATAGAGGACCAAAGGGCCGATTTAGGAGTACTGGCTTCTCTATTTCCACTAGTATTGAAATCTGAGTTCTTTACCAGATATTTTTTTCAGACCCACATAGTAAATTCTAAAGCTTTCTAAGGAAAGCTCTTTGAATTGTTTCTCAAGTTGTGATGTATTTAAATACCAGATCAACTGGCTGTCATTTAAATGATGTAAATTATATTTTAAAGAATGATTTAAAGAATTTGAAATGTTTTCTTTACCATTGGGATTAAACTGAAATGAACATTTGTTAAACATACATACTTGTCCTTACTTTTGTGATAATGCAAAGCTCCTGGATTTACTTAAGGAAATTAAGAGGACGTGAGTTAAAAGTGGAGAAGATAAAAACACTTAGTAAAAAAGAAACACTGTATTCAAAACATGGAGGGAAGGAAACAGAAACAATCTTGATTCCAAAGCACACTTCACCATAGACACTGGATTGCTCTATCTTCCCGCTAGAGGTCGCCAGAACTTCAGCTAAAACCCAAACCAAATCACCAACTTTGATCAGTCTAAGTAGGCTGACCTCTGCCCAACCCACAGATTGCTTCTGTGAAACACCTCACACTCCTGTTTCACAGGTTTCATCTTCATGCTCACTTTTCATTTTTTAAAGCTGATTCTTTCTCCATAAGGTTTTATGTTTTTGTTTTGTTTTGCTTATACTTCAAGAGCTTTTGGAAAACAAGGAAGCTTAAGCCAAATGCTGAAAGCCCTTAACAGTTAAGTTTTTGGTATATTCATATCAATGCCCCCAATCCCCTCTCTTTCCACATTTTCATTGTCTCCATGCTTCTAGTCCCATCCAAGAACATATCTACCTGATGTGTGCCAAATCATATGAAGCAGTCACACTTTTTAAAAGAATATTGCAGCAGGTTGATTCAAGTTACCTCATATTCACTGGCCACTTACTCTTAGCTGGGACTGAACTGAGTTAAGAGACACATTGAGACATAAGCCCTCTATTTAGATCCTGAGACTCTGAATCTAAATGAGTGTGCAATTTAGTAGCGTCTGTAACTGTGTTTTTTGTTTAGTCTTGTCCATGACTAAGTTGTCTAGAATATAATGATTTGTGTCTGATGCATGGACAATAATTTTAGCTCTTTCATTTTTTTTAGGGGATGGATACCTAATAAGCAGTTATATTATACTTTGGTGGGCAGATCCAATTTTAGATTTGGATGGATTATTTCAAGGCTACTTTATTTATGTTTATATTTGAATAAACCACAAAGGAGAAAGAGTTCAGGGTTTATGTTACATACATGGTCTGTTTTTCTGTACTCCTCCTAAATTAGATAAGACTGTGATGGGGCCTGGAGAAAAATATTGTTAGCAACAAGAAGCCCTTTCTTCTTCGCAGTGGCAAGGTATGGGATCTTGAATCATTTTCCTGGACTGTTCTGTGTACCCAAAGCCATGTAAGCTATGTGAAGTCATGAGTGAGGGCAGAGTAAAAGCATACTCTAGCATATAATGGCTGGGAACCCATAATCAGAGAATGTAGGAAATCATCAGCTTTAGCCCTGGCATTTTGCAGAGGAGCCCCGAAAGACATGAGGGGAATTTATCCAGGCTCCCACTGCTAGGAACTTGCCACACTAGGGCTAAATAACTATTCTCTTAACTCTCACATGGCATTTTTTGGGTTCATTCTTCATTTTCCAACTTTATTCTAACTCTTCCATTTTTTCCAATGAAGAAGTAGGTGGCAAACTGAATAGTGGTCCCCCACACAAGTCTACATCCTAATCTCTGGGCCTTGAAATGAGGGAGATAATCATAGATTGCTCAGTGAAATTGACTCAGGAACTTTGATCTCTAGCATTGTGAGAATAAATTTGCCATGTTTCAAGCCACTACATTTGTGGTAATTTGTTACAGCACCAACAGAAAACTGATACAAATTGTATACATAAGTCCAGCTTGAACATTACATAAAGAGAAATTGAGCAATTCTAAATTAAACATGTTGGTTCATCTTAACCTATTGTTCACTCATTCAACAAATATTTATTGAGTACAGACTTTGTGTTAGGTGCTATGCTATGAACTAGAGACTTAGTGTTAAATGTAATCTTTTAGCGCTGACATTGTAATAGATAAACAAATATTTATGGGTTGAGTGGTTATAATTATAATAAGAAAAATAAAGTAAAAATGTTATGAAACCATATAGAAGGAAACTTTTTTGTTTTAAGAGAAAAGCAAAATTTTATATAACCTTTTAGTTAAACTAATATTTGACAGATACTGGGATAGTCTTCAGTTATATATTTTTAGTTTCTTAATTGGCATATATTAATTCTTTCTGGGCATATTTATTTAATTCTGAGTTGCATCTTTTTAAATTAAAGATTTTCAAAAATCAATACTGATTTCCAATTGCTTTCTGCTTATCTAATGAGATTTTTCCCCCAGAAACTGTTAATTGATGATGTGTCTTATAAACTATAGTATCGTGGGAGAAAGGAAATTCAATAACTAGGTAAAAGGAAGAGGAAAAAAGGAAGGAAAAGAAAGACTATTTTGGGCAGAAGGAATAGCATCAGTGAAGACACCATGTAAAAAGGTGATGCTTTTGTAGGACAGAAAGAAGACTACACATTTGTAGCACAGGTGGAGAAATGCTAGATAGGCTGGTGAGGTGGGCAGGAGTCAAATAATGCCTGGACAAAGAATTTTGATCTTTAAATTTAGATGGATGATATGACATTGGAAATTTTTAGCAGTGGAATTACAGATCAATTTTGTATATTCAAATCATCCTTAGTTGTGTGGTATGTGGAATGGACATTAATGAATAAACATTAGGCTAATAATCTAAGCTTCCAACTCAAGATACTGGAGGAAGATCAATAAGTTACATTCAAAAGATAGGAGCAGAGAAATTCAGGGAGAGCCTCTGCATTTGCTTATTTAGAAATGAGCAATCTGGGCCTGGCTAAATGTAGGTGGAAAATAATGCTCCTATCAAGTGACACTTCTGGTGAGGTTTTTGGAATGCTGTGAGATAAGTACTGAGTGGGTAACAGAGTCAATGGGGAGCTTACTAAAAATACAGGTTGCAGCCTTCGTCATATAACCCCATACCAGCCCTAGACATTCTTATTCTCAGTGGAGTTTGAAAGGATCCCAACAGTGTACATTTCAAATGAACATGGGAGACCCCAATTTTTCCCAAGCTTGAGAATCTCTGGACTGACTTTCGTTCTACTTCTAACCTTGTATAGAAAAACTTTGAATTCCAAAGAGCAATAATCTCCAATACTGGTCTATTATACACCATGTTGGTAGTAAAGGAAACATTGAGAAAGAGGCCTTGCTGGGTTCCCTCCAAATCACATTTAAACATGACAGGTGATGTTTTCTTTCTTGTTGGACTGTGAAAGCTTTGTTCTTCTGAGGTGCTGTGAGAACCTAGCCAACAAAAGCCTAGCCTGAACTTTCAGGATAGGCTGCCCCCATGCATAACCCTCACAGAATACTGTCAAAATGCTAGCTCTTTTAGAAAGCTCTTCATTGCTGAGTCTGTTCTCTAAAATGAATCACAGATCATGTGCAGGACTTTTTGCTTAAGTAAGCTTGTGTTATAGAAGCAAAAATCCCATTTCAAATAAATTTTTTCCCAATAACACCTAAAGCTATTTTAGACCATTTATGTTTTTAAAAAGTATGGGCCATATTTTGTTTAAGTAGCAAATAAAAATTTCAGGGAGAGCAGAGAGAAATGCTTATCGGTCATGGTCAAATGCCACTAGGTGTGCTGCTAAAAATATTA